GTAGGAAAGGAGAGTCAAAGATGTAATGAACAATCCGTGAAACCACAGATGGTATGAACGTCAAAGACCATCATGGTACAAGCCTCCAAATGGTGACTTTGAAGGAGGTAGAGTATAAAGAAGACATGATAAAATTAGAGTATCATTTTTTAGTAACTGCTGAAATTATTATACTGGACAATAATTATCACTGATGGCTAGCATCACAGACAAGAGGGACAGCCAGGAGTTATGTACTCTCTTGAGAAGTACACAGCACAACCTATGAAGTACCTGGAATGTGAACCTATATGACCAAGCCCCCAGATCATATAAGAATTATAAGGGGCAGAAGAACATAGTATATTACATGTGGGTGTTCGATTAGCACAAACCAGATTGAGGGTAACTCTGAAGGACAAACCACTCAGCATCTTCAACAGAAAAATTGTAAGAGAAAAGCAAATGGAGTGAGGGGAAACCTAGAGATTAAAAGAGACATAACAGACACAGCAACTTATTACAATGTATGATTTTTATTTCAATCATAATGTAAAAAAAATTAAGAGACAATTGAGGAAACTTGTATCCTTACAGTTTTATTATTTAAGAAGTTATTGTCAATTTTTAAAAGTGGGATAGGGGTGTTATGGTTGCATTTATTAAAATAATGCTTTTAGAGATGCATAATTAGGCATTTATGAATTATATTATAGGATGTATGATTTGATTCAAAATAACGAGGAGAGGGGACAGTGGAGAGAAGTGAATAGACATTTGGATGAAACAAGATTGTCCATAAGCTAACAGTTAAGGTGGGCAATGGGTACATTTTACCTTCTTTATATCTTTATATGTGTTTGAAATTGTTGGTAATAAAAATTTTAAAAAGCAGTGTTGAAATTTTTTTTAAAAAGGAAATACAGATAACCAAATTCTTCAAGGATCAGGTGGTTGCCAGGAAATCTCAGGAGGAAAAGAAGCATGAGAAGACAGCTAGAGGAAAGTTCTCTATAGGGTTTTTCAGGTCATTATAGCCGTACTGGCATGAGAAGAAGGCCCTGTGTTTAGCAAATGATGGCATATATCTCCTGTTACCACGCTGTTCTGTTACCTCCACTCACTAATTTAGTTCCTTGAGTAAGTACTGCCCCTCTTACCTCTAATTCCCTGGCATCTAGCACACTACCTGGCTTAGAATTAAATGCTGAACCTAAAGATGAATGAATAAACAAATGAATTAAGCAAGTAAGCAAGGAAATTTCTGCAAATGGAAAACATGTTTATATTTTCCCCAAAGAGTATTTAATCAAAGACCGAGTGTGTCTGTTTGGGTGTACATTTGGGTAATCGATAGCTTTGGCATACTTTTAAATTCATTGAACTTTTCAGAAAAGAATTTCTAAATGCAGAAATTCTAATTGTTGTTGGAATTGCTTTAGGATGTAGGAAGTCTGAAGTTAGGTAAAAACATCAGGTTCCTGGGAGAGACTTTGTGATGGGGTTAGGAAGTGAGCACTTACTGGTTCAGGTGAGTTCCTGGCCGTATTTACTGAAAAACAGACAACAGGTGAGCATGGATGGTTGGGTGGCCCTTTCTAGCCCCACAGTGTTAATATCCTTTATTTTAAACAGGTTAGCGGTCAGTATTCTATTACTACTATACCAGTTGGTACAACACTGCCACCTATGGATCAATAGTGAAGTTTCTTATAATGCTAACAATACATGGCTTTTTATATCATCCTTTGTAAAAATAAAGAAAACTTGTCCTTTAAAGGAATTCTGTGATGAATTCTTTGGTAGGTTAATAATTGCCTCTCCAATTGATCTTTAAAAATCTGAGTTTGGATTTGCCTTAAAAAGGCAAGAGTATGGAAAATTTGAGTTAAAACATCTTATTAAACTTTTCGTTTTCTTATTAGAAGTAGTATAGGGACTTGGAATTGAGGGGGTATTGAAGTAATGTTTTGACCTGGAAGGTACTTAAAACACTGTGCTGATCAGTGGTGTCAGGCTGGACCAGCACGGAGTCGACACCAGCAGCTGAGTGCCCAGGGAGAGGGAACAGCACTGGGGCTGGGGCGCTCTAGGGCGGTATTTCAGACTTGACCGTAACCTACTCTAGATTTGGGGTAAGTCACATACATAATGTCTCTGCATGGTGATTGTCTCATAGAAAACAGAGACCTTCAAACTTTTTTGATAGGACACCATTATCAGTTACAATATTTGAGTATAACTGTCCACATAACTTTTAAATTTATGATTTACATACATGAATTACTACAATTTGCAAATATCTCTAGGCACAGTAAGTACAGTACTTAGGACCAGACCAGTACAGCACAGCGGTTCAAGAGCGTGGACTCTGTCTAGCTCAGTGGTGGGCTTAGGTCCCAGCTGAGAGGTTATGTGACCCTTTCCACCTTCTTCCACAGCAGTAAGATGGGGTGATAGTCGTCGCTTCCTCATCGGGTTGCGTGGTGGTGAAATAGGAATGTGTTAACTGTGTGTGTAGAACAGCACCTAGAACATTGAAAGTGCTTACTGTTATTATCATTCATAGTTCCACATTTCTAAGGTCTTTGTGGTAGTTTCAGACATTTATTTGACTTCTTGTCATATCCTATGAGACAGTCCTGGTTTTTTCCCCCATTATGTGCTGAGGTAGAATAAAAGTCCCAAGAGTAAAAATGTCACTCTGCCAATTGATAAAATAGAACAATTTTCTTATTGTTCTATTGAGCTTGCATTTTCATTTATTCAATCAGTAGTTTATTTGTAGGAGTCATAAAGCCATTTGTCCATTTGTGACTGTTCTTTAAAAAGTTAAAACTGTAATTTTTTCTTTTTAATTAAATTTATTGAGGTGATGTTGGAAAATAAGTGTACAATTCTGTAACACATCATCTGTATGTTGCACTGTGTGTTCAGCTCCCAGTGTCGAATTTTCCTCCATCACCATATATTTAACCCCCTTTCCCCTTTGCTACTCCTCACCTGCCTCCCCTCTGGTAACCACTGTACTGTTGTCTGTATCCAAGTATTTTTGTTTGTTTTTCTTGTTTGTTCATTTGTTGCTTTGTTTTATATCCCACAAATGAGTGAAGTCATCATTTTGCTTAGCATGATACTCTTAAGATCTCCCCATGTTGTTGCAAATGGCAGTATGCCATCTTTCCCTGTAGCTGAGCAGTAGTCCATTGTATACATGGACCACATCTTCTCTGTCCACTCATATATCAAAAGACACTGGTTGTTTCCATGTCTTGGCCACCGTGAATAATGCTGCAGTAAACACAGGGGCACATATATCTTTGTGAATAAATGTTTTCAAGTTTTGGGGGTAGATAGCCGGAAGAGGGATTGCTGGGTCATTTGGTAACTATTCTAAATTATTTGAGGAGCCTCCATACTGTGTTCCATAGTGGCTCTACCAGTTTACATTCCTACTAGCAGTGAATAAGGATTTCCTTTTCTTCACATCCTCAGCAACACTTGTTATTACTTGTATTGTAGTTTTCATTTGCATTTCCCTAACAGCTAGTGAAGTTGAGCATCTTTTCATATATCTGTTGGCCATTTGTATGTCTTCTTGGCAGAAGTATCTGTACAGGGCCTCTGCCTCATTTGCAAATGCCATCTCTGTGATTGGTTGCCTTTTTTTTGGTGGTGGTGGTTTCTTTTGCTGTGCAGAAGCTTTTCAGTTTGATATAATCCCATTCACCTATTTTTGCCTCTACTTCCCTTGCCTTTCAGGTCAAGTTCATAAAATCTTCACTAAGACCAAGGTCCATACATTTTGTTCCTATGTTTTCATTATATAATTAATTGTTTCAGATGTTATATTTAGGTCTTTGATTCATTTTCAAATAATTTTTATACATGGGGACAAACTGTAACCTAGTTTTATTCTTTTGCATGTGGCTTTCCAATTTTCCCAATACCATTTACTGAAGGAACTTTCTGTTCCCCATCGCATGTTTTTGGCCCTTGATCAAAAGTTATTTGCCCACATGTGGGTTTATTCTGGACTCTCAATTCTATCCCATTGGTCCGTGTGTCTTTTTCTGCCAGTATCATGCAGCATAACTTGAAGTCAGGGAGTGCGATACCTCTGGCTGTGTTCCTTTTTCACAGGGTGGCTTTGGCTACTCAAGGTCTTTTGTGGTTCCAAATCAATCTGATGATATTTTTGTTTTGTTTTTAAAAGTAATTTTAGAGTTTTTAAATCCATTTAACTAGACAGTTTGGAGACCACTGATTTAAAAGCCTGCGGTAGCTACTCATTTCCATGGTTATATCATTAAAGGTTTAAAAAAGTTACAGATATAGTGGAACTTTTTAAAACGTTTATGCTTTTGTAATTGTGACTGTAGGGGGTTGAGTAGCAGGGAGAGAAAGCTGGTCTCCCCAGATGCAGTTTATATTCTGTGTACTGTGAATTCACGGTATGGAATCTATATTCGACATGCAAATACAAGTTAAAAAGGGAGGACGTAGGTTTTTATTCTTTTTAAAAATAAACTCTATGGAAGTGGGCCCATGCCTAACCTATATGTGTCCCTTATGTGGCACAGCAGTTATTTAACAAAAAAATTACAAAAACATTAATCAATTCTTATTAAAGATTTTATTTACAAGTACCTATTTACATACACACAGCTTTTTACCTTAAGAAGTCACTATATAATAAGTAAATGGCTTTATAACAACATCATTTTTTGGTAATACACCTGACTTTTTCAGTCTGTCACCTTATCTGCTGAAACCAAAGACAGAGTGGACATCGCTTGACATTTGCGTGTAGTTGGTCTCAAATGTTCTGTTTCTCCCCTTGAAGAGTCAATGAAAAATAATGTCTGTCCTTTCTTCCTGAGATTTTTAAAAATGGAATAGCGAACTGAGACCACAATAAAACACGCATGCTCTTTCTATATAAATTATGACATTCTTTTTAAGAAGGTTAGTGGTATTCATTTTTATCAAACTTTATAAAATACTTCTATTTTCTCTAGGTGGTTGGTTCTAGCTATTGCCATGGTACGTTTTTATATGGAAAAAGGAACACACAAAGGTTTATATAAAAGTATTCAGAAGACACTTAAATTTTTCCAGACATTTGCCTTGCTTGAGGTAAGTTTTCAATGATGCTATTTTTCTGTGATTGTAATATTTATTCAAAAACATATTCGTTGAGCAAAAGTAATTTTGCTGATTATATAACACCTACAGATTCATTTAAAACCAAAGTTAACAGGAATTTATTTTATGTTGTATGCTACTGACTTGTGAATTTTTTTTATTTGCCTATAGGTAGTCCACTGTTTAATTGGTGAGTTTTTTTATTTAATTTTTATTTTTGGTATGAATTGCCTTGAAGACAATGGTTGACTTGATTTTCTCATTCAGGAATTGTACCTACTTCTGTGATTGTGGCTGGGGTCCAAGTGAGTTCCAGAATCTTTATGGTGTGGCTCATTACTCACAGTATAAAACAAGTAAGTGACATAAATGCATCCTCTACTCAAGCCTGCAGGGAGAGCTTTTGTAGTAATAGGAATTAATAATAGCACTGGAGTATGTCAGGAAGTAGAACCAGTGGACTAAAAAGGGTTGGGTTTGGATTTAAGTGTGATTGTTCATTGGCTCAATGAATTAGCAAAATAACTGAAACACAAGCAAAGCCAAATATTGGTATTTTATATTCATGGTATAGTGTCCTCTAGTATTTTCCAACTTCAAAAATTAATATCTGTATTCTCTATCAAATGGTTAACTGAAAATTTTATTTTCCACTGAGGTTATTAGTATTGTCTTTGTTTATGTAATTGAAGTTGTTGGCGTAAACAGTTTATTTTTCCTCATTTAGCATTGAGTGTCGTAGCAACACATAAAATGGAAGTGTAGCTCTGGAGAGCTCAACAAATGGCAAAGACTAAAAGTTAGAAGGGTTAAGGGACTTAGGGAAAAATAAGTACAATATTTGTTGAAGCATGACAGGAGACAGACCTGAATCTAGTTAATGGCTTAACTCCTTTTAGGCAAACAAACACATTCTTGCTGTGTCAAGACATCGGGGCTTTTAAACCCATGACAGAAGCATTTCCCAGATGGGCCCTTCTGACCTTCTTGACAGCCTCTGGAGTCTCCTGTCTACTTGAGGACAGATCTCTGACCTCCTTTCCATTCCTCAGATGCCTTTCTTGTCTCTTCTGCTTGGGATGATTCATAACCTCCCTCCCACTGCCTGCAAGACTCATTGGCCTGCTGTCTTTGTGGGGACAGATCGCCGACCCTCTGCCATTTTATTACTCTACAGTTCAGCTCTCTGGACTTCTGTCTTTCACTCGACCTACTTAATCCATCTGGTCCCTAACCAATGACTGCTGTACAAATAGCAGTCTGTGCATGCCACCTGGAGAGCCAGACTTTTAATTCAGATTGCCATGTAGTTTAAAAGCAGGAGTCCAACATTAACGTAATAAAATAAAGACTATGCTGAACAGTGAATGAATATTACAGCTGGGCCAGGACCACAAAGAGTCTGAAGACTGAGGAAGAAGAAACAAAAGACAGGGTGGCTAACATTAGCTGGAGAAAATAATTTAAAAACGAGCTATGATCTCATTTATATGTGGAATCTAATGAGCAAAATAAACTGACACACAAAGAAGAAACACAGGCATGGATCCATGGGACAGACTGACAGCGGTCAGAGGGGAGGAGATGGGGGGACTGGGTGAATCAGCCAGAGAACACGTGTGCACAGCCCATAGGCACAGACAACAGTGTGGTGACGGCCGGAGGGAAGGGTGGTAGCAGGGGCTGGGTAGAGGTGGGCAAAGTGGCGGGGTGGAGAACAGAGACATCTGCAATAGTGTCAACAATGAAAATAAATGAAAACATAAAAGGATAAAATAAAAGCAAACTACAAGGTGACTAGTCCCCAAGTGATAAAAGCCATCTGCTTGGTTTTTTTATCTTCCAGAGGATCTCTGCCTTCATGTTATTATTTAATTTTATCCAACATTAGCTTCCACTGGCACCTTTTCACCACTCTTTAAGTAATTCAACATTTATTGAGTGCATTCTATACACCTGGCCGTGTGTTAATTTGTGGATTTACAAAATGAATATGGCAGTCTGCTGTCATGTGCACTGGCTGTTGTAGACCAAGCAGGGGCGGCCATGCAGATGTTGAGTGGTTCAGCAAGTACATTAGTATGCACCTGCTCTGTGCCTGTTACCGCACTGGGGATCCAGCTATTAGTAATACAAATGTAGTTCCCACCTCGTACAGCCTGTAATTGGGAGAGATACTAAGCAAGGTGTTGCACAAATAATTGTTTCATTATTTTAGTGTTAGTGCTTTGAAATAAGGGACCAGCAGGTACTGCAATATACTTGGGGACTTAGCCTGAGCTAGGGAGCGAAGGAAGGCTCCCTGAGGGAAAGACTATAAGCCAAGCATAGAGAGGTATACAAGAGTCAGGCAGACCAATTTCAGTACAAACTTGGAGAGTGTTGTAATACAAATATGAATAAAATACTGTGAGAACAAGGAAGGTGAGCATAACTTCTCAGGGTGAGAGGAAGGGTTTGGAAAAGTTTTTCAAAGGATATGATGTTTTTGCTGGAGATGCGAAAGGATTTTCTAGAGGAGAAGCATTCAAATTAAAGGGAATAGCACAAACATTCAGAACATATTCTGGAAATAATACAAAGTTTAGTGTCTCCAGACAGAGGTGTTGGGGATGCAGAGGAGGGGGTCTGGGTGAGGGTGGGTCAAGTAACTGAAGATGAAGTTGGAGAGATTTCTGAGCTCAGATTATGAAGAACCTTGAACTTTCTGCTCAGGTGGTAGGATTGTATCCTTTCCTCTTGTTAAGCAGTGGGGCACCAATGAATTTTTTTATTTTTTAATTTTATTTATTTTTATTTTTTACTTTTTATTTTATTGATTATGCTATTACAGTTGTCCCAATTTTCCCCCTTTGCCACTCTTCACCCAGCATCCCCCATTCCCTCAGGCAATTCCCACACCATTGTTCATGTCCATGGGTCATGCATATAAGTTCTTTGGCAACTTTATTTCCTATAGTTGCTCCTAATATCCCCCTGCCTATTCTGTACCTACTGTTTGTACTTCTTAATCCCTTCACCTAGTCCCCCATTCCTCCAAACCCCCCTCCTCACTGGCCACTATCCCAGTGTTCTCTATATCTATGATCCTGTTTCTGTTCTGCTTGTTTGCTTAGTTTGTTTTTTAGATTCAATTGTTGATATTTATTTATTGCCAATTTAATGTTCATAGTTTTGGTCTTCTTCTTTTTCTTAAATAAGTCCCTTTAATGTTTCATATAATAAAGGTTTGGTGGTGACGAGCTCCTTTAACTTTACCTTGTCTCAGAAGTGTTTTATTTGCCCTTCGATTCTAAATGATAGATTTGCTAGATAGAGTAATCTAGGTTGTAGGTCCTTGTTTTTCATTACTTTGAATACTTCTTGCCAATCCCTTCTAGCCTGCAAAGTTTCTTTTGAGGAATCAGCAGCTTTTAAGATTCTCTCTTTATCTTTAACCCTTGGCATTTTAATTATAATGTGTCTTGGGGTGGGCCTCTTGGCATCCATGTTGTTTGGGACTCTCTGTGCTTCCTGGTCTTGAATGTCTGTTTCCTTCACCAAATTAGGGAAGTTTTCTTTTATTATTTTTTTTTCAGATAGGTTTCCAATTTCTTGCTCTTTCTCTTCTCTTTCTGGCACCCCTATGATGAGAACATTGGGACGTTGAAGTTGTCCCCGAGGCTCCATAGACTATCCTCGATTTTTTTGGATTCTTTTTTCTTCTTGCTGCACTGACTGGATGGCCTTTTCTTCCTTATATTCCAAATCATTGATTTGATTCTCAACTTCATCCACTTCATTGTTAATTTTCTATAAATTGTTCTTTATTTCAGTTAGTATCTCCTTCATTTCTGATTGGATCCTTTTTATGCTGTTGAAGTGCTTGCTCACTTAGTTCTTTGAGCATTCTTATAACCAGTGTTTTGAACTCTGCATCTGATAGATTGCTTACCTCCATTTTGTTTAGTTCTTTTTCTCTTCTTTCATTTGGGCCATATCTCATTTTGGCAGCCTCTCTGTGTTTGTTTCTGTGTATTAGGTAGAGCTGCTTTGACTCCATGTCTTGATAGTGTGGCCTAATGTAGCGGGTGTCCTATAGGGTCCATTGGCACATGGGTCCATTGACTTAGGGTCCCCTATCCCCTAAGCTGGGTACTCAAGGTGCACCCTTAGTGTGGGCTGAGTACACCCTCTTGTAGTTGAGTCTTGATTGCTGTCAGCAGGTCAATGGGAGGGATTTAACCAGGTCAGACAGCTGGTAGGACAGACTGTGACCTCTGGCCAGCAACCACCTCCCTCTGTGGCTTGTGGAGGTCGTTGGGTGGTGGTGCACCAGCGTGGTCTGTAACTGTCCACTGGGTGTGCAGGCTCTGGGGTTTGGAGGTGCAGGCCCAGGTCAGCCACCACCTGTGCTCTGTATGAGCCCTTTGGAATAAGCTATAAAGAGATCTGCAGATGGGTGCTGCTAGTACCAGGCCTCAGGCCGCTCAACGAGAAGTACGGGGCTGGGCTCAGCTGTTGCTTGTTTGAGCACATTTAGGAAGGTCTGAGCCTGCACCTAGCCCAGCCATTCCTGTTGAAAAGCCACTGTTACCAGCTTGGGTGGGTCTGTAAAATGGATGGGGTGGAGCCTTAGGTAGCTTTCAGGGTGCAGCTAAGTGTGTGAGCCAGGCTGATGGAGAATCAGATACGGTGCTACTGCACTGTGGCTCTTTGTGGGGGAGGGCTCAGAAAAGGAACAGTGGCTGTTCTTTGTAGTTCTCTCTGGGAGGAAGCAGTCGCTCAGCTCTTGCCCTGATGCCAGGCACTTCAGTTCTTCCACGTATGCCGCTGGTGCCCTTTAAGGCGCCGCCCCAGTGCTGGAGCCCAGAGGTAGTGAGTCTGAATAAGTCCATGTGCGTGATCCTCCAAGAAGAGATACCTGGGTTTCTTCCTGTTGACCCAACCCCCACTGGTTTTTACAGCCAGAGGTTATGGGGATTTTTCTTCCTGGCATTAGAACCCTGGGACGAATGGTCTGGTGTGGGGCTGGGATCCCTTACTCCGGAGATACCCTCCATTTTATATCCACCACATGTGGGTTTGGGGCCAGCCCCTGTTGCGTCTTTGCCCCTCCGCCCCTCCTACCCATCTGGATGAATGGGATTTCTTTCATTCCTTAGTTGTAGGACTTGCATGCAGCTCTATTTTCTGATGATTCTGAATGATAGTTGTTTTGTTGTTTAGCTATAATTTTGCTGTGGTTGTGCAAGGAGGCAAGCCACGTTTACCTACGCCTCCGTCTTGACCCCCAGTGAAGCTTTTACTTGACAGGACTAGCTGCCTCCAATTTTGTTTTTGCTTGCTTCTTTGTTTTGCTTTTAAGAGAACTTTTGTCCATGAAGCGAATCAATAGTGGAGATACCCTTTTAGGAGGCTGTTACGATAGTCTGTGTGAGAGATGAGAAGGCCCTGGATTAAATAGGTGGTAGCAGTGCCAAGGACAAGTGGGCAGATTCAAGACTTAGTTCTACAGTAGAATGGCTCTGATTTGATGACTATACAAAGTTGGAGGCTTGGATCGTTCCTGTGCTCTTTTGAGGGGGTGATGCTGTACTGGGACAGTTGAGTTATTGGCAGCAGTAAAGGGTGAGAAAGAATCAGTAGAAATGTGACCATTCCTGTCCTAAGGACATATTTACATTGTGTTTTTATAATGAATTATGTGGCAGCGACTGCATTAGTTTTCTGTTTTTTATATCTGTTTAACCCTACCATTCCATTATATATAATGAAAGACACACAGTAAATAATTAAGATATAATATCTTCATGGAGAAAAAATTTCGAGCTTAAACGACACTGGATTTCTCTGTCATTCTGCAGATCCAGAATGAGGAGAGTGTGGTGCTTTTTCTGGCCGCGTGGACTGTGACAGAGATTACTCGCTATTCCTTCTACACATTCAGTCTTCTGAACCACTTGCCATACTTCATTAAATGGGCCAGGTGGCGATGCCTTGTAGTTTAGTTTCTCACAGTCCTATGCATGTGTATTTTGTTGCTGAGCTTGCTCTAGAGAATTAAAGTTTGTGTTTCAGCCCTGTGATGCCAGATGCTGTTGTTTTGCATATTTAACAGTGTTATAAGTTGCATTCTAAAGGCCTAATTTAATGATCAGAGAGAAATCATATTAATATGTATTTTCAGTGAAGTCAACATAAGACAAATTATATTAGTTTCCTTAATCTCTAAATAGGTCATTAATTTTTCTATGAAAGTAACATACACATTTTTGCAATTATATTAAGTATACTTTGTGCTAAAAATAGGGCATTTTGTCTGATTGATTTAAATTATTTTAATATTCAGTCTAGGAGCCACAATTTTTAGTCTCTTATACATACAATGTCAAGTTTGTTTTAAGTAGCAGAAACAGGAATTTTTAAAAAGTCACACTTATTTGAAATTGTATTATTTGCAATGGGGACAGAATTTATATTTCAAAGGTTCTAAATATATCTATCCTAAAACAACAGTTTTTAAAGCAAAAGATGTTTTGTTCTTTTTAAAGTTTGAATTCTCTGAGCAGCTGATATTTTACAAAATTATTAAAAAAACAAGACTGTTCTTTGAAGATCAAACCACAGACCATCATAGATTTGTCCATTTTATTCCCTATAATGTACTTATAGTTGCAATAACAACAATAACCATAACTTAATATGCTGTGCACCGACTGCATACCTGAGATGCAGGCATGAACACAACAAAAATCTCTGTCCTCTCAAGATGGAGAAAACAAAAAATAAAATACTAACAGCCATGTGAAATACTGTATGTTAAGAAGTTCAAGGAGACACAGGGTAAGGACGTCTCTCTCATTTACGTCTGTCCAGGGTAGGCAAGATAAAAGAGTTCCACAATATTTTCATTTCTTTAGATTTTTTTGTTAAACTACAGAAATATGTTTCATTGCAAAAAGCTCAAACAGTACAGAAGTTTGTAGAATAAACATAGAGTTTCTGTTTGTGCTCTTATCTGACCGACTTCTTTCCCGTTGGAGGGAAAATGTTTGGAGTTTAACCATTCAGACTTTTTCTTATTAACAAAAATGTGAACACGGTGTGAATTTTTAAAAGCATAGATAGGATGACATTGTGTTTGCTTTTTGTTTATATCTAGGAGTTTTTTTTTTTTTAAAGTCACTACAGGTGTATACAGATTTAGCTTATAGTGTGACTGACCCAGTTCTCTTACTGCTAGAATTTAGACCATTTTCAGTTTTCTGATATTATAAATACTGCTTTGAGATATTATAAATAATGCTATATCCATATTTCTGTTCTTTTTAAAAACTCCGCTATTCCTATTAAGAAATTCCTAACTTGTTTGAAGGTAATCCATAACTAGTGTCTAAAGTTGTTTTTGATTCTCATATATTAAAAGCCTACCATTTTTCTTCAGTGACCACTCCTTGTTTGTAACTCATATATTATGCATGTTCCAGTGTAATAAGTGAGAATATATGAATAAACCAGTAAACTGAAAAGAAGAAAAAGAAAACCTTTTACATTCTTTATTCTCTCACTGCGCAAGGATAATCACTGTTGTTATATACTTTTTTAGACTCAACATATTTTCTAGTTCTTTTTTCAACATTCTTGGCTTATCACTTTGTATTGATAAAATGCTTGAAATTATGATTTGAGCTAAAACATATTGTTCATCTTAAGAAAGTTGTATTATCATTTACATTTGTTTGGTTGGTGTCACTCCTGCTGTACCCGGAAACTTACTTGTAGATACCGGACCTTTCACAGGTCCGTAGTTGGGAAGGTGGCCGACCGCTAACCCTAGAGTGCCCTGTGCTGTTTTCGTGACCTGTCGTCTGGACATCCAGCGCTTTTGAAAATACTAATTCATGAAAGTAGCCTTCTTTTTTATTTGCTGTATTTATAACATTTGTTTGTGTGGAAGATAATGGTTTTTAATGCTGCCTTTTGGAATGCATTTGCATGTCTTGGATTTCTGGAGAAGTTCCCAATGCTGCCATTCATTGCATGTTACAATTTGCTCTTTAGAAATCCTTTGTCAATTGTCTTAATGTTAAACAAGATAGTATAAAAATCTTTCAACTTTGAAATTCACATGTTAGCATAATACATCATGTCAGTTCACTATAATCATGAATAATTATATTTCATGTCAAAAATCATAAAGATCTCAGCCACCTATATATATACTTACCAACCCTCTTAAATAACCTAAAATTATATTTGTACTTACGTTCAGATGTTGAAGGTATTGTTCTCATATAAAGCTTCGCTTTAAAACTGCCTTTTTATTTATGACTAGTTGACCTACTGTGACAGTTGGAATATAATTTGGTTCAATTTACATCAGAAGTGTTCCTAGAAAGTCCACCAAACAGATGATTGTATATTGTTTTGTTTTCATACTGACTTCCATTTTAGTTTCAAAAAGGCATTCCCTTCCAAAACTTTTAGATGACAATTAGGAATCTTCAAGGAACATTATATTTTTTCTGAGTGGTAATTAAATCATGCTGCCATCAGAAGTTAGAGAGTTGGTGACATGTAATCTTTTAAAAATGCAAATGAAGTAAAATAAATTATATAATTGATTTCCATTTCAGTAAAAATAATCACTCTTTAAGGCTTTAAACTAATTTATTCTACGAGTGATCTTTTTTTCTGTTAAAGAACAGTGCAACAAAAATATCTGAGAGTCAGATAAAGTTTAAAAAACTACTTAAATAAGTTTGAATGTGTTACTTGCAAAAGGAATAGATATTTAGTTATATGATTTTAAGTTGAGATAGGAAATTGATATTGCAAAAGATTGAATTAATTGATACACAAATAACTACATGGTCTAGAAAGAAAGGCAATAGACCAAAGGAAAGGAAGGGATACACAGGGCAGTAAAAGGATCATATTTCTTTCTTAAGCAGTTAATCTATTTGGCAAATAATTCTGTCTTTATCCACCATATTTTACCCTTGTATATCCTTGGCATGTAGGAATAAGGCGATTTTTAGGTTGTCTCCAAGCTTCTATCATACTGACAAATTTGGCTTCTCTTTACATGTATTTCTTAACATCAACAAAATGATCAAATAAAATATGGATTATGTTTTTGTCCACCAAAACTTTAACCTTAATTTTCTGCTGTGTGTTAACTGACTTGGAGAAGAATGATTTTCTTTAATGGAGAAATATCATTGCTTTGGGTCCTTGAGGCGCCAGCAGCGGGTCACCGGTACACACCTGAGACTGCCCCCTGCCTGTGGCTTAGGTGCTGTGCAGCCTGCTCCAGGTCGGAGAACTGGCCACAGTCTAAGTGAACTAATTGTGATTTTCAGATTTTTGGATAGAATTTTCGCAGCTCTGTTTTAAGCAAGCTAAACTGTCATTTAATGTGGGAATTCAGGAAACAACTGGTCTTACTTGTTTTGTTGCGAAAGTAGTTTTAGACAGTGTATTCTTTAGTAGTATTAATGCTTTTAGGTAGTGTTATCAGTTTTCTGGAATGTTAATTCCCTTTTAATTAGTAGCCATAGAGTTTTCCAAATTTCTCCCAAAGAAATACTTTGGTAATTTCAAGGTTTAGATGTAAAGTAGGATCATAACTGGTCTTTTAAAGTGCAGCATTGAACAATAAACGTCTAGCTGCAGTAGGGAAAAATCAGTCAGAGAAGTTACCTTCACAATACCTTACAATACTTACATATGCTTCACAATACATACATACTGTAAAATACTTAAAAAACTGCATGTATAGTAAAATGTATACAGTTATTTTAGTACTTTAAAGTAAGTTGACTTCTTATTTTAGTATGATTTTTCCCATTTAAAGTGGAAACTGCTGTGAGAAAAAGGATAATTAAGTTAAGAAACAAATGATTAAAGTAGAAAAAATTAATTTTTTATGTGAGGTTATTGTAAATATGTATATGAAGGAGAATGTGTAAGTTCAAGCATACATAGTAATAGCAAAAGAGCCATTATATACAATCCAATACTTATTCTAGAAAAATAATTCTCTAAGGTTTTTCTTTCTGCAGATATAATTTTTTTATCATCTTATATCCTGTTGGAGTTGCTGGTGAACTTCTGACAATATATGCTGCCTTACCATATGTGAAGAAAACCGGAATGTTTTCAATAAGACTTCCTAATAAATACAACGTCTCTTTTGATTACTATTATTTTCTTCTTATAATCATGGCTTCATATATACCATGTAAGTATGTATTGATTAGTACTTTGATTTAGTATATGGTATGAAAGCTTTTGGAAAGATACCATAATTGCTAGTTTAATAAGTAAGGAGAAAAACAGTTTGCAGATAAGATACATCAGAACCTCTATTCAATCCCACATATTTTCTTTAATTTGAAATAAATGAAGATCTAGTGAGTCAAAAAAGACTTTTTCCTAGTTATGAACTGAAAGGTAAGTAAATTAATACACAAATGATTGCCTTCTCAAAATCACTTAACAATAAGCTTAGTTTGATACATTCTTAAAGAAAATTGAAGTATTTGTAAGCATTTAGAATTACAGATCTGAATAGAAACATTTTATTCAAGAAAATGTGAGGTCATTTCCATCTATTCATTAAGCACATGCTTGGAAAAATCATCTAGGAGTACTTTTTAGTCTTATGTGTATTGCTCTGTGCACTGGAAAATAATGAAGCTACTTTCCTTAAAATATATTGAATGATTCAGCCTTTTTACTAGTTTTCATCACCCTTCAATAGATGCAATGAATTAGTGACGCTTTACTCACTGCATTTAAGTACTAACAGTGGTATATGTTTAGGTCAGATTTTGGTAGTCACTGACAGAGAATAATGTAAAACAAGATAGTTACCCTTTCACTAAAATTAGAGACTGATGTCAGTGGGGAAAAAGGGAAATAAGAAAATTTGAGAGAATCTAAAATCTACATTGATACAATATAAAACATTTAATCTAAAGGGGATGAGCATAAAACTTGGCCAGCACCTGGAGGCCCCCAATTTTTAAGCTTTTCGAGATAAAAATTGACTTAATGGTCAGGTAACGTTTTTAATCCCCTCCTCTTGTCGCGTTTCAGCCTGTCTCACAGAGTCAGTTCAGAAGGGCTAAGGAGTGGGACACCTGTAACAGTTGTTTATACCCACCCCCTGCTTTCTCAACACCCAGTATTTGGCAACACACCTTGAGCAGAGCCCCACCTGGCTTCAGTGTCTTCCATACATAGTTGCACGTTCAGGTATTGGGTTCTCCTCTTCCTCATGACCACTGAGACATCTGCACAAAACCCCGGGCCCCAGTGGATTATGGTGAGAAACCAGTCAGCTAGTAACTTTCGACTGCGTGTTTTCAGGTGTTCTGGGAGACACAGACCCTGTCCTCTGCCGGTAGCAGCTTCTCAGCTCATCATGCTGCCATTTACCCGAGAGGCCCACTTGCTAGAAGATCAGTCAGCTGGGGGATGTTTTTGACTTGATTATTAATATTAGCAATAATAACTAACTTTGCTTTGCTGACATTCTTTCCTAAGTAAAAGTACTTTTTGAGTACTTATTTGAATACTGTTTATTCTCATATATCATGGGGACTTTATAGATTAGAGAGATTAAGTAGATGCATTAAAAATCACCCAGTTATTAAATAAGGCCAGAATCTGAACTCAAGCTGATACTTTTACTGAAACTATTCAGAATGTTAGAGAAGCTTTTGCAATCATTGGTCAGTTAGCTTTAAGTATATATGATCTGAGTATATTTTAGTCTCCTAGGTATAATATGATCATTATATTTATCAAGATAAATAGTGACTAAACTTAAAAAAGTAAAATCTGTTGTGCGTTTTTCTCCATTTTAGCTAAGTTCTATATAGATGCAAGATAAAAGAGATTAAGTAACCCTGGCTGGTGCAGCTCAGTGGATTGAGTGTGGGCTGTGAACCAAAGGGTCGCTAGTTTGATTCCCAGTCAGAGCACATGCCTGGGTTGCAGGCCAGGTCCCCAGTGAGGGCCATGTGAAAGGCAACCACACACTGATGTTTTTCTCCCTATCTTTTTCCCTCCCTTCCCCTCTCTCTAAAAATAAAAATAAAATTCTTTAAAAAATTAAAACGAATATTAAGTAAAAACTCTAGTCTTGCAAAAAATAAATAAAATAAAACAAAATAAAAATAGTTATCTGAAGTTGCCTAAGCAAGATAGTTAAAGCTTATTTGTCATTAAAGTCACTGATTTGGCTGTTCTATTTCTCACTTCCAGAGATGCTTTTATATTTGTATTGTTAGTAGTTGATGTGAATTTGTTCATCCACTAACACTTATACTGTAATTTAAAGCACCAATTCAAGTAGACTCAGAATAATTCTCCAAAATTGGATAGGGCAGGTGACAGTATGGTCACTGGTCTGATACATGTACATCTGTGTGTTTGTATGTAACAGACCGCCCTTCCCAGCCTAGAAGTGCTTCTGCACTGGGCTCTATTCTAACCTTCTACTGGTCACTCTCCACACAGGCCCTGTGCCTTCTTGATCACCCTCTGGGAACCGGGGACCATGGGACTTGCTACCCATGTGGCACTGAGTGTACATGTAGATACTGCTCAGACCTCTTCCCCCATCTGCTCTCTTCAGGGTTAACCATGTCAGCAATCTACACAGCCCTGAAATCAAGGGGTGGCAGGGCAGCAGTTTGGGAGGGGCATGGGTTGTGTGGGCTTGCATCTCCACACGTATATTCATAAGACCCCTCATGGGCCAGGTGGGCAGCTATCCTTACACTGGAATTTTCTGGCACAGTACTCCAAATTGTTACAGGATTCTAAATTCAAAAATGGTCTCCCAGGTCATTAGGAAGGTGTATTTATCGAGGTATTTAAATTTGCTGAAATCCCCCACAGCTTATGGCATTAAGGTATTTAGGCAGATGGTATTATGTGGGCCTCCATTTGTGCTCGTACCTGACCTTTATAAATATTAGGGGGTAGCAGTGGTGTCTGATGCCCTTGCTCTGAAACTTTGCCGCCTTTAAGAAGTTTCCAGTATAACTAATTTCCAACAATAGCTTATCTTTGTTTTCTTTTTTCAATTAAGTGTTTCCACAACTCTATTTTCACATGTTACGTCAAAGAAGAAAGGTGCTTCATGGAGAGGTGATTGTAGCAAAGGATGATTGAATGACCTCTGCAAACAAGGTGCTTTTTCCAGAATACCCAGGATTACTTGAGTCCGAGTTTTAATAACAAGAATAAACAACTTCATGAAATATTGCAGATTGTATTATTTCTTCTAATATAACTTGAGACATGTGGTATTTGTCAGTATTTGTCTTCACATTATGCCACGTCCATTTTCTATAAGAACTATACAGATATTTATCAACTGTTGGGTAGGTGAGGATCATTAAGAAAATAATTGGTATTTTACAATACCTTAAAAAAAACCTTTTGTGTTTCTTTTTAGTTTTATAATTTTTTGCAACATATGCTCAAAGCCTTTTAAATCAATATTTAGAAATTACTTTAGTGATTTAACATTATATGCCTGCTGTGATAATCTATATTTATAAATGAAAGTAAATGCAGAATTACAATAACTTATTAATAATGTGTTAGTGTTTCTTGAACCCAAGATCCATTTTTTCAAGCTATAAGGAAGGGAGCATTTTGATTAATAACAATTTTTGGAAGCATGGATGTAATTTGCCATTGTGAGACCTTAGATGTGGATGTCAGAATTGGAAAATATACTTTGGAAATATGTCTAGGCCATTGAAATTACTTATACTACTAAGCAAATTTATTTTTATTTGAATTAGCCGTTCAAGGATAACCTCTTCAAATCCAGGGGTTTGAAGGGATTAAAAACAACGTAAGTATATACTTTGCCTCCCTTTCTGCAGCCTGGTGACATGAGGTGTGTTTATAATGTTACACTCAGAACTCTGGCTGGGAAAGGCTGCTCTGTACCGTGGAATTATCCATTGAAATCATGTTATGATAATCTTTTTGTGGTGCTGAGATAAAAAGAAGTTTTGAGCCATGGTCTGAAGCCAGACTCCTTTTATCTGAATTTCACTGAAGAGCAAAAGTCTGATAACAAAGCTCCTGTCTAAATATTTAATAGAAAGATACACTGAAAGGTACACTTTCATACTGTTTTAATCCTTAACTAAGTTCCTTAAGAATTTTCCCCTTATCTTAAGGTTTGCTGCTTTAAAGACTCAATTTAGAGAGAATACTAAATATGTGACTTAAAAAGAAAAGAAACTTTTCCTACCCTAATATATATATAGGTGCAATTTGGGCTTTCTGTGCTCTGTGGTGTTTGCATTTACATCAATGTAACATTGCACTTCAAAATTTTGTCATCACCTCCTTTTCAAATGATTTCACGTCATTTGTAGTTCAGAATAGTTCTGCAAACTTCCATTGTACCTAATTTGATTTTTCAAAGGTGCTACTTTCATACATTTTAATGTTTGCAGCTGAATGTTTTAATGAGCAGTATGCATTAGGTTACTAATTCTCAAAGTGCAGATGTGTAAGTCTCTTTTTACATGGCTTGACCTGTTTTCATCTTGAATTTTTATATGGAATGATAAAATTTTCAGGGAAATTTTATTGTTGGTAACAAAATATAAAATGTTCGCATATTTATCTTGTTAGATCCTGGCCTCCGAAATATATTTCAAATCCTTTTCTTGAAATTTGCATTAATTCAACTTGTACTTTCCTTAAGCAGTCTAGTACTCTCCCCGCCACCCCCTCCCCTTAAGTTGTGGAATATCTTGAAGTAGGAATTGTGATTAACTTTAATGAGACAGGCACATGCCCCTTGTATACTGTTGGTGGAAATGCAGACCGTGGAAACAGTATGGTGTTGCCTATGACCCAGTGATTCCACTTGTGGGAATACATCCAAAGAAACCAGAAATACTAATTTAAAAGAATTTATGCACCCCTGTGTTCATTGCCATGTTATTTGCAATAGCAGCCCAAGCACCCATCAGTAAATGAGTAGATAAAAAAGCTGTGATATATTTATACAACAGAATAGTACTCAGCCATAAAAAAGAAGGAAGTCTTACTTTTTGCAACATCATAGGTGGACCTGGAGAGCATTATGCTAAGTGAAATAAGCCAGTCAAAGAAAGACAAATACCATATGATTTCACATATAAGTGGAGTCTAATGAACAAAATAACAACAGAAAGAGACTCACAGATACAGAGTACAGACTGACAGCTGTCAGGAGGGAGGGGATTTGGGGGGCTGCATGAAAAATGTAATGGAATTAAGCAAAAAGAATTCCTCAGACACAGACAAAAGTGTGGTGATAACCAGAGGGAAAGGTGGCAGGGAGGAAGAAGAGGGTAAAGGAGGGGATAAATAGTGATGAAAGGAGACTTGGGGTGGTGAAAACAATATACAGATGATGTATTATAGATTTGTACACCTGAAACCTATATGATTTTACTAGCCAATGTCACCCAATAAAGTGAAAAATAATTAAAACTAAAAGTACAAACTCACTGAAATCGGAACTGTTTCACACTGTCTGTATGCCCCACACTGCAATCTGTGTAAAAGATGTTCAATAAATTCTTATAGAATGATGAAAAAAGTGAAAATATATCAAACTATTCAGTGACTAATGAAGGGTGCCCCCCCAAAACCAGAATTATCTCTTGGAGGACGGGCCCCTTGTCATATAGGCTTCCCCACGCTAGGTGAGTGTTCTGGGAACCCATCTGTATCCGTGGACCAGCTGGCATCAGAGGCTGTGTTCGGCTTTGGTAAATTTTTTTTAAACTTCATGCATTTGCCCATTTCATGGTGGGTGATCTATGAGCACACCTGCCCACAGCATGCTGAGTATTCAGGAGTTTTTGACCAAAACCAGCATAATCTCTGTGCCCCGCCCTCCCTATTTACCCCATCTTGGCCCAAGTGACTTTTTTTGTTTCCCCACATGAAAAAAGTCCTCGAAAGGACAGTATTGGCAGGAGCACTAATAGTCATCAAAGTCAATGAGTTCAACCATTGTTTTGAGCAGTGGAAAAAATGTCTTGATAGGTGTATTGCATCAGATAGAGAGTACTTTGAAGGTGACTGAAGTTTAAATGTAAGAATAAATACACAATTTTTTATAAATAAATTCTGCATTTTTGGGTCCCCCTTCCTATCTTAAGATACTGAAAGTATGCATAAGTTTAGGTTTAGTTTATTTTCAGTATCTTCCATATAACTCATTTTTAAGGATTTTATTTATTTTTAGAGAGAAGGGAAGGGGGAGAAAGAGAGGGAAAGAAACATCGATGTGAGAAACTGGTTGCCTTCTGCTTGCACGCCCTCCACCCCCAGGGTCTCAACCTGCAACCAAAGCATGTGCCCTGACCAGGACAAATCGACCCCCTTTCACTTTGTGGACAACCCCCAACCCACTGAGCCACAAGGGTCAGGACCTACTGTGTGCCAAGTACTGTTGTAGGGAATTTACCATCTTGCTCCCATCATACCTCTCTCTTCCTAAACCTTTGACAATTACTAGGTTCAATTGGTTAAGAAATCCCATAGCAAAATAATTATCCGTGCTTTAACAGCATACAATGCATTGGTGATCTGATGATTTCAAAGTTCTTTGTTACTTGTGTATGTGTAAGTATATCAGCACCATTAAATAGGTAACATTCTGGTTTCAAACTGCTTTCAAACAAATGAAAATCAATTATTAATAGAAAACTGATAAATCATTAAGGCATCATTTAAAGACATTATTAAAAGCAACATTTAAAATATTTTTCAAATTAATGTGCAAAATGTAGATGTATTTTTAACATGTAGATCTGGAATATACATATAACTGATAAAATAAAAATATGAGCAACACAGTTATATAATTTCTACTTGAGCATTAAATGGAATTGGAACTTCAATTTGTTCATCTTTTTAGGCTAAATTTACACAAACATCTTAAATAGACATAAGTAATTTTTCTAGATATGAAGCTTAAAAATATACAGGGTCCAGCACAAAAAAATGCCCCCTTTTTATTACAAAATCATAAGCAGGTAATACTGCACTATAACAATATGACAATCAATCATGCCATGTAACATTTTAGGTGAAATGTTCAAATTAAAACTGTATATTATTACTCTACCAATCACACTCAAGCAGGTGTTACTTTTGTCGGACCCCGTATTCTAAAAAATTGAGGGTTTTTTTTAGTGTTCTTGTTACAGCTTTCAACAATATTTTTATTTGCTTTCTCTTCATATATAGTTATAATATTTTGTGAATCATTTGAGAGAAGTTGAAAACAATCCCTAATTACCTCAGTGTGTATTTCCTAAGAACAAGGAATTCACTGAGGTAGCTACAGTGCAGTGATCAAAATCAGAACATTCATCTAAACCACAGACTTCATTCAAACTTCACTGGCATGAGTTTCCGAACATGGCTACGTTCTGCATTCAAATCCAGTGCAGGTTCAGGCGTTACGTTTAGTCATCACCTCAGGCTGGCGTGGTTCCTTGGTTTATGTTCAGGTTTTGTGACTGACATTTTCAACAGTACGGGACAAGTGTTTTATAGAAAGTCCCTCAGTGTGGTTTTGACGTTGCCTCATTATTAAATTTGATTCACTCCTGGGCAGAAATGTTGGTTTGTTTCGTGTACTGGTGTGATGCTGATGCTAACTTCGACGTTTTAGGGTTTGCTTTTTAATACTTTGGTTGCAGAGTAACACGTAGGTATTTTGCTAACAGACGCCTTTGGCGTAATTCATTGGAGTTTAGCTTTGACATGAGGCATTGGGATTTTTTTACCCGAATATGCCTGTGCTTTGATACATGGAGATTAATATCTTTTTATATGCTTAAAAAGTAGTAGTTTTTTTTACACATGCAATTTCCAAGTATATTATTAACTCACCTTTATATTGGCTTTTACACTGCTAGGCTGTAAAACTTCTGAGTAATTAATATACTTTGATGTTGCTTTAAAATTCTTAACTATAGTATTCTGTTCTATGTTATATGCCTTTACCATGATATTCCACTATACTAAAATGACATATAATGCAAGATTGAGATTGCTGTAAAAATACATTTTATTTTTTGATTTATGACACTGTCTTACCTGTATATTTAAAAATGCAATTTGTACAATTTGAAAATTAAAAATTCTTCTTAAATCCACTTCACACTCCGCATGGTTTCGCCTTGAGGGCAGTGACTGTACGATGATGGTTTCAGACCACAGCCTCTGTGAGAACTGCGGGCAGACCTGGGAGCCCTTGCGTCGGTTGCTGTGGGGTCGAGAATCTTCATTTTCGGGAGGCCTCGGGCAGTCCTGTTGCACGCGGCGAGGCTGTTTGACCACCTGTTGAGAAACGCTGCAACAGAGAAATATCAGGGCGGAGGGTGTGACTTCTTACAAATGCCGTAGTCACTGTTGTTCTTCTGAAAAATCAGCATTCCTACCTCATTCTAATCAGAACGAGCACCATAGTTTTAAGTTTATAAAAATAAAAAATCCTGATATTTACATAATATAAAATAGTAAGACATTTTGTATGTGTTTGTAAAACACTATTTTATAGCCATACAATTGATCTATCCATTCACTTAAGTAGAGCATAAAACAGATAACAGTAGTAAAATCCAAATTAATAGGCTTTTGATTGTACTGAATTGAATGACATGAAATAAATGCATTACAGTTAGCAACTGTGTTAAAAGATTTTTCTTCAGTAGTATTGTTAACTGAACAGGACCTCTAGTCTTTTTTAAAAAAATAAAATACAAGTTTTATGAATAAATTCAAGATTGTGGAAGGCATACGTGATCCAGGTTTTGAGCAGTCTGCGTGACAGAAAGTAATTACAATTTGCCTCAATGATTTTTGCTTGAATCATAAGTTGATGAAAACAGATTTGTGGCAGAATTAATAAGTTCAGAAGCTATTTTATTGAGTTAAACTTTAACTGAACTTTATTAAGACCCTTACAAAACAAATTAATTCTAAGAACTGAGGAAATGAAAGATTAATTTACGTTAAGTGTACTCAAGGAGAAAAAAAGAATTTTAAACAATTTTCAGCCTGGAGAATGTACATTTTTAAGCATCATATATTAAATTATTTTCAAAGCAACAACTTAATTTGTAACTTGTAGGTTTGCCCCCAAATCTGGTGTTATTTTTTGTTTTAATTCCCAAATTGACACATATGAGACAATTTATATAGAAATTGAATTTGTAGCATTTAATGTATAAATATTTTTATGGAAATTACAATTTTGGAAAGTTCAAAATATTTTTTTGCAGAGGAGTCAAGGTCATCTGCAGTAAGCAGTGGCAATTACAGTGTGATAGGTAGCAAAAGGCAGGTCTGGGTGCAGCTAGAAAAGAAAAGCTTTTAAAGGTCCATTGTGAAAATGGCAGGTTATTTGGCAGGTTGTGTATACTCATAGTTATGAAGCATTTTGGGCCCTGGAAAATTTCTAGTTATTTATTTTGCTTATGGGGTTAAGTGCTTTATGTAAATGCATCCAGATAGTTTTTGGAAAATATTTTTAAAATACTTCCTGTGAATTAACTTTAGGTATGTATATACTTTGCAAACACTCATTGAGTTTTCTTAAATTCATGTATGTTTTTTTTAAGAGGCTTTATTTATTTATTTTTAGAGGGGAAGGGAGGGAGAGGGAAAGAAACATCAATGTGTGGTTGCCTCTCGTGTGCCCCCTACTGGTGACCTGGCCTGCAACCCAGGCATGTGCCCTGACTGGGAATCAAACCAGGGACCCTTTGGTTCACAGACCAGCACTCAAGCTGAGCCACACCAGCCAAGGCTAATGTATGGTTTTTGTTGGGTGAATAAACACTAAGAGAAAATAAATTATTACCACATTTATTTAAAAGTTGTGTGGAAGTATGGCTGAGCTGTTTAGTACCAATACCAGCTTAGAGTGAATGAAATAGATTAAAGCTATAAATATTTCTTTAGTGGTAGAGAGTAGATAGATCTGTTTATTGACAAATACTAGTAAAATAAAAATGATAAATCCTATCTTGGGATGTTATTATTATTATTAGACTTTGGTGACATATATAAAATTCTGCCTCATCAGTCATGTTCAGTGGTAGAAGGGTGACATGTGTAATGGTTCTTTCAATGGTGACAGGTGGCCTGGGGCCTGGGAGTGAGACCTGTGCTGGATTTGGGAAAAGTGCTTAACTTTCTTCAGCCTCAGAGCCCCCATCCGTAACATGGGGTAAGAAGTTGTGTGAGTTGCAAATGAGGTAACATCTATAACTGTGCAGCACAGAGCTTGGCAAGTACAAATATTCAATAAATGTTAGCTCTTCATGACACTTTTTGCTTTTAATGATTTACTCTAACTTCATCTTTTATATTTTTGTCCTTTACCATTTAGTCACCTATGTTCCCCTCCTTCCCCAGCAGTCACCACACTGTTCATGCCTATTTTTACTGGTCTTATATAACAACCGTATTGTGCCAGGTGAAATTTCTAAAGTCATACCATTCGTTTCTTTGATCAAATTTAATATCACTTATAGAGAATTGTTTTAGTATAATTTTCTATATCTACATTTTCTTCTGCTTTGGTTTGAAAGATTGCTTATTTTGAACTACTTTTTAAATCTTGACTTAGAAGTAAAAGGCTAACGTTTCATTTAGTAGTCAAACAGCGGGAAGGAGCTGCCAGTAAGTTGGTGTCCTTTAGGATACATGAAGTATCCTGATGACCGTGTGACCTGACAGTGTTTCAAATAAGGCAGAAACTGTGGTGAGATGCTCTCCAGCCAGCCTGGCCCCTGGGCGGTGCTTGTGTGAAGGAAGAGGTGGCTTAGACCCCCTGACGGCAGTGTCAGGGATGGGTGGATATGACCACTCTCACTACAACAGGAGATCCTTTTAGAGAATTCTACTGTGTCAGCATAATATTAATAATTTTTATGTGTGCTACTAGTAGAAGAATATAAAAGATTTATATAGGTTTCTCAAATGAAGAATTCCTTAATCAGAATATGATGAAATAATTTTGTTCAGAAATGTCTCATTAATCTAGCATTATTAGCAATAAGATGATGTATCCAAAAAAAAAGCAAGTTCATCTTATGTCCTCATTTAAAAAATTAGATGTAAATCTCTGTTATCCTAAATGGTATGTAAAATATAGATCATAAATTATCTTCTATCATTTTTAATCTGAAAAACTAGATGGCCAGATTTAGCTAGAGTTGACTAAGGTCATACATGGTCCAAATGTTATAGTTTCAGATGTGGCAAGTTCATTGGTTTTAGAAGGAACATTGCAACTTCTTCGGGCCATTCAGAAAGGTCAAATTCAAACAATGCAGGATGACACAGGGTCAAAAATGTAAGTTTCTCTTCACTTGTTCACTTTGTTCCTATACATCAGGCATTAATCACAGCGTGGTATCTTCAGACCTTTATAAAACAAACATTCATTCTTTCTCTTCCTCTTTACACACACACACACAGAATTAGATAAATGGGAATAATTTATACTTACTTCATACAGTTTGACTTGCACTATGTCTTGGTGGTTCATGCACATACATATATACACATTATTCTTGTATTTCTCTGTTGATGGACATTTTTGTTTACAATCCATAGTATAACCACGTCAAAATAAAGTGGTAATGATAATAATAGTATCAATAGATAACATTTATTGAAAGTTATGTACCAGGCCATGTGCTAATTTATATTTAAAATTTATAAACAAATAAGGTATACACTCTTAAGCATTTTACTAGCAAAGAATTAGTTTCGGAGAGGTTAGTAACAGGCCCAAGTATACCATGCCTTTGGACAGATGTGTAATACATTAATAAAAGAGATTTACAGGTGTAACATTGTCAGGTGAAAGGGAACACCCATTTTAAATTTTGGTAGTTGCTGCTAAGTTGTGTTCCAAAAAGATATATCAGTTCAACCCTAACGTCAAGCAGTGGGGGCAGCTATTTTCTTATATTGTTACACTAAAGGGTGTA